TGGCAGTTCAAACTCACCCAGCAGTGCCATGAAAGAAAGGCCTGGAGATCTGCTTCTGTAAAGTTTAAATCCAAGAAACTCTAGGAAGCACAGTTCTACTCTGATACACATGGAGTCATCATGAATCAGAGTTGACTTGATGACAACTGGTTAGCCACAAGAAAACACACTAAAATCTATTTTTAAAAAGAATGATACTTTTTGGCATGGTCACTTAAGTGTTACTCAAATATCAACTTTACTCAGTATTAAACTTCCAGAAGCATAAACATATGGACTTTTCAGTCTAGGTTAGAAAAATTAAACAACATTTATTAGATGCAGAGACTTAATCTTATTAAAGAAATTTTATTTATTCAGCATTATACAGAAGTATGAAACCGGGTGATCTGCAGTGACATAGAGGCTGTGACTGGGAGGTCTGCCCGCCAGGTGCCTCTGGCGGTGCCCTACTGCACTTCCCTGGCGCTCACTCCTCCTCTCCCACACCACCAAGAACCTTTCCAGTATTTCCGAGTAAAATCATAACATTATAATTATGACATCATGAAGAGCCATTTCAGTGTTTATAATGTAGTTTCTAAGAATAGGACATTAATGATATAAAAATAAATGTCTTAAAAAAGCAACCACAAGGTTAAACAGCATCATTGGGTATTAGGGGGCTTTAAGGCTCTTCCTGGGGGAGAAGCTTCCACTTCACTGAGGGATCAATTTCCTCATCAAAATCATCCAACTCCTGCTCCTTGGAAAGCTCCAGGAAAACCTGAAAGGGATGAAAGAAAAGAGAGTGTAGAATGTCACACAATCTTCTTCTGTAGCCCCAAGTGGGTGGGAAGAAGATGCTTCAGGAATCCATTACAGTCACATGGCTGATACAAAGTAACTAAAATGACCCACCTGCTCCAGGGTGGACTGAGACAGGCTGTACTCCTCCAGGTTGAAGCTCTGCTTCACTGCACAAGGATGAGCTTATGTTAGACGTTCATGTATTTTTATATGCAGGTGGTCTGATAAGTCAGCATATAGTACAAATAATATTTAAAATCTTAAATAAACAGGTTAAGGTGATAATCGTTGGTGGCCTAAAAAAACACCATTCAGTTAAAAATATACCAATGCATGCTTTTAGGTTCTGGGGGAAGGTGCTTGCGTTATGCTTCCATGTGGCGCAGGGTATGAGTCCTGGATTTAAGGGAGGAAGCAATGCTGAGAATGCTTCCTTCCCTGCACTTGATCCAGCATTTTAGCACACTGGGCACAGCAGCAGGAAGACGTGGGAGGAAGGCACATTTTGAGAAATGAAGCATTAGAAGATTATAGACAAAGACGTCTGTGGTTTTCTAGGGAGCAGATATCCTCACGAGT